TGCAATCCAGGCTTGGGGATGTGAGGGAGGGAGGAGGGAAAGGGCAAGACTGGCTTGAGGAGGGAGGGCTGGGAAACCCTGGGAACCTTGGTTGTCAGGGCCTAGAGGAAGGGAGGCAGGGAAGACCTAGGCAGTTTGAAGAAGCAATGGGGAAGGAAAGAAGGGACAAGTAGGCTTTTTCAGAAAGCTCCTGAAAATCAGGAAGAAGGCCGTTTTTTCCGTAGAAGCCTTCCAGCTCCTTGACTTCCTCTGGCATATTCCTAGGGACTCTCCGAGTTCGAGGTTCCACTCAGGTATGGAAGCAGGCAGTCTGGGAAAGAAGGGCCACCACTGGGCAGAGGTAGAGAGTGAAACCTCCAAAGGCTTGGATATCTGGAGGAGAGCGGGCGTTTCAGAGGGGCCCCTATGCTGCTGCAGACCTGGGGGAGGGCAGGAGGCGTCTGGGGCCTCTGGGTATCAATGTGATGCTTCCTACATCCTCGCAGACTCGGTCTTGCCGCAGCTGTGCAGCTTCGGAAATAAACGTTTGCCCAGTTATCTTGTCGGAGAGCTGTGCCACGCTTCGATGGTTTCAAGTGTCCCTTTTGCCCATTTACGAACAGCCACCCATCAGGGCATCTCTCTGTGGTCCATTCATTTCACATTCACCAAGACTGCACTATGTTTGAGCTGGGTGTTGGATAAAGTAGAGAAAGGAATGGGAAAATACAAATTGGCCTGTCCTCGCTCAACACCTGGGAGGAACAGGCACAAATGTGGCGGGTCCGGAGGAGGCCTGTCTAGCAGGGCAGCATGTGAAAGCTTGGGTCCTTCTTGGAGGATGGGAATTTTTTTCTAAGTGATAATAGCATCCGTTTGGCTTTTGTTGGTTTTTCAAGAAATGCTTTCTCTGTGTAGCTTTGGCTGTCCTGGAACATACTCTTTAGACCAAGGTGGTCTTGAACTCAGAGCTCTGCCTGCCTCTGCCTCCTGAGTGCTGGGACTAAAGGTGTGCACCACTACTGCCCAGTTGCTGCTATGCATCTTGCATTCTCTCTGATCATAGGAGCGCAGATGTGGGGAGACCCAAGAGCAGTTCCTCACAGTGACCCTAGAGGCCCCAGGTCCCTGCCAATTATCTACCTCACTCTCCAGCCTTGTGGCTGCCTCTCAAGTGGTTGCTCACTACTGATGAAAGCGCTCCCTGAAGGCCTTTGGTGTGTCACCTTCTTCCCCTGGGCTGCCTCTCACGTCACTGTTTTCATCCCAGACACCCTATCCCTGATAAAGGTTTGAATTTCTTATAGTTAGGTAGGGCCAGAAGACAAACAGAACCAGTGGGACCTGGAGAAGGCTATTGAAGAGCTGCCATGAAGGTCAGGGTTCAATCTCTCTCTTCTCAAAGAGGGTCCTGTTCAGAATTCAGAATGGCAAGGTTCCTATATGAGTGGCCGTAGAAACTGCACTGAAGGGCAGGCATGTGGCCCCGTTGACTGAGTGCTTACCCACCATGCATGAGGGTTTGCTTGGGTTTGAGCACCACACTGTGTAACCACGTGGGGTGGTGCACGCCTGGAGTTCAGCATTCAAGGGGTTGCAGCAGAAGGATCAGAAACTGATGATTATCTCTGGCTGCATAGCAGATTTGAAGCCAGCTTGCACTTTATGAGACCCTGTCTGCAAAACAAACGACAGTTCACAAAAGAAACTGCACTGGAGGTCACTAAAAGGGTACCCTGGAGCTGCTCAGGTTTGACATCACTGGCTAGCTTCCAGCCAGAAGTGAGGGGTCACGGCATGGAGTTCCCACTCAAGCCGTGAGGTTGAGGGAGGAGAAAGTGGTAAGTTCGGTGGTGTTTGAATGCTAGCAGGGAGAAGAAACAGTTAGGTGAGAAAGGTACGGAAGTCAAAGTTGAAGGATGGAAAGAGAAAAGGTTTGAGGGCTCAGAGCTCTTGAAACTGTCTGAAGGAGAGCTGGGGTCCCACTTGACGCTGGGAGCCAGTGAATGATGTCAGTCGGGAGACTGTGTTATGGGTATAAAGGAGCTTTTGGGACGTGAGCTAAGAGGGGCTCCGTGTTTCTGGTATGTTACTTAACCCATGAAGGGAGGGGACAAAAGAGCTGGAGCTGACATGGAATCTTCTAATTCCTTAACTGGATGGGGATGTCCAGGCTCCAGAGGGGTCCCTTAGTCTGGGTGTTGGTAGGAAATAGGAATTAAGCAGACTGAAGGGACCTAAGATCACCTTTGACCCAGAGCGAAGGCAGTGAGTGGGAGACTTGGTTTGGGCCTGGTGAGGAGGCTTTAGCCAGTGTCCCCATGGAGTTTATAATTTGTGTTTGTCATCCCTGGACAGCATATATACACCAGTGGATGGACTGATGCCACTGAGGGGTTGTGGGTTCTGACGTGCTGGGACTGGAGGGGTGGGGACTTGAACTCCATTTCTATATGGGCCAGTGTAGTGGGGTTGTCTTCTCCGGAGAAAGGAGAGAGGGCGTGGGGAAAGGGTGACGATCTTCCCATATATGTTTTAAAGGAACCACTCCTCTTCTTTTCCCAAGAGGTTTTCTTCTTACCAGGGTATTAGCTGGTCCTTGTGGCTCTGACCTCAGCTGATCTGCAGCCTTGTTCCTCTCTTTGAGCCCCTGCACTTCTACTCCTGGCGTTAACTGAAGCCTGCCTGCGGGAGGATTTGGCTGAATGGATAAAAACATCACAAAGTCCTTTGGATGTAAATTTATGCGCATCAGAGGAAACTGAGGCCCAGGGATGTGGGCGACTAGCTCGGATGTGCAAGGCATGAACCCTTCACGCGTGCCATGGAGGGCTTGGGGTCCGAATTAGCAGGCCCAGGTTCAAGTTCCTCTCTGGTATTGGCTGTCCTGCCTGGCCTCTGACAGGTCCTGTCCCCTAACCACGGTCAAGCACCTGTCCTTAGCTGTGATAGCAGAGTGAATGGCGGTAGATTCTTCTTCAAGTGTCCCGCCTGAGGAGGCTGTGTGACAAGTGGCTGTCCGCTTCTGTCCTACTTTCAATTCTGTTATTGCGAAGAATACCCTAACAAAAATCAGCCTAAGGGAGAAAGAGGGGCCCATCATCAGTGGGGGTGGGGACCTCAAACAGCTGGCCGCATGACATTGTGAGTCAAGAGCAGAGAGAAGCAAATGCACGTATCCTTGCTTGCCTGGTTGCTTGTACTCGGTCGGCTCCGTTGATTTCTCCTTTCCTACGCAGTCCAGGAATTCCCGCCTAGGAATGGTGTCACCCACGGTAAGCGGGGTCTTCCCACACCAGTGAGCTTAATTAGGACAATCCCCACAGATATGCTTCTAGGCTAACCTGATGTAGACAGTCCTTCATTGAGGACCTCTTCCAGGTGATTCTAGATTGTGTCAAGTTGACAACATAAGCTATCTATCCTTAGCACTTGGGCAGGGGCAGGAGCAGAGGCGGGAGGATCTCTGTGAGTTCGAGGTCAGCCTTGTCTGTAGCAAGTTCCAGCCAGGGCTACATGTAGGATTCAGCCTCAAAAGAAGAAAAGAAAAAAAAGTGACTATTACGTTTTTCAGGAAACGCCTGTCTGCTTCTATCATTATTTATACATTGATCCAAACATTTTAAGTGCTTTCTCCTTTATTATTTTTAGTATAAACACATTTTATAGACACAGAAAGTTGGAATGATTGTATGGTGGACTGTCTAGATTCAGCAAACGTTTTGGCATATCATTAGCCCTCCAAACTGGTGAGTTCTGGTTCACAGAATGAATAGGTGCTGATTGAAACTATCTGGGAAGAAACCTGTGACTGTCCTGAACAAGAACGGACTTCATAGTGTGGTCATTCTCCCTTAAACGGCTCAGCAAGCTATTACTTACAGAGAGTGTTTATACAGTACTAGATTTTACAAAAGTTCTAGCGGGGATTGAAAGCAAACAGGAGCGGAGCAGCTATGCATGTGGCTCAACTGGATAGAACTTGCCTAGCATGCAGGAGTTCCTGGGTTCAAGTCCTAGCACCACATGGTAGCCCCTGCTTGTAATCCCAGCACGGAGGGTGGAAGCAGAAAGATGGAAAGACCAAGGCCAGACTTAGTTAAACAGCTACTCCGGCACAGCCTAGGCTGGATGAGATTGTATTTGTAAATCAGCCATACAGGAATCTGTGCCTAAATTCTGTGTAAACACTTTGTGCAAACTCTGCCCTTTCACATAAGGGATCTGATTCTCTGCCCTTTCACATAAGGGATCTGATTATCCACAGTCTTGGTGTCCACCAGGAGCCCTGAAAACAGTGCCCAGGGTAAAGATATGATTGTATGACATCTCCATCATCCTTTTTTTTTTTTTTTTTTGAGTCGGGGTCACTGTGTAGCCTTGGTTGTGCTGAAACCAAGCTGGCCTCGAACTCTCAAGCCTGTCTCTCTGCCTCTCAAGTTCTGGGATTACCACCTCCCGGCCCCATCATCTTACTTTTTTGGATGCATTCTAAAGAGAGTGAAAGCATGCATTTTGTGATCTGGAACTCTGCTCCAGTGACTTTTGAGTACAGGGTCATGTGTGTCCTAATTCACTTCAGGAAAAAAGTAGAGATTATCATGCCACATTTGACAGCCAAGGAAAAAGCAGGTTTCAGAGGTTGTGTGTGTGTGTGTGTGTGTGTGTGTGTGTGTGTGTGTATTCTCCTCCTCCTCCTCATTACTCCGTAACCCTTTGGCCTCTACTCCACAGCTGAGTCTTTTCTATGGGCTCCTCGACTTCTTAGTATCTTGATTCTTACCTGTCCCTTCGCACCCTTGTTTGCTAAGCCCTCTGGTCTGTTCCCCAGAGACCTGCTGGACAGCTGGCCTACCCAGGTGCAGTGTGGTTCGGGGCCTGGGGCCTGGTGGAGTATAGTTTGTGCAGCGGAGCGTAGCAGGGGTTAAAGGAGGCGGCGGTGGGGGGCGACGCGCTGACTCCGGGAAGGAGGCGGTGCCCCAGGCCGCCCGCCCGCTCGCTCGCTTTTGCCCGCCCGGGAGGGAGCCGGCAGCGCCCTGGGAGCGCTCACTCGCTCACAGCAGCGGCCTTGGGACTGGCTCTGCTACCTCTGTCCTGTTGGGCAAGCTCACTCACCGCCTCCCCAGGAGCCACCAGCTTCCTGCCAGCCCCGCCACCCGCCCTGCTACTGCCCACCGCCCTGGCCTGCCACCCAGTGGCTCCTCTGTTGGAAAGGTGAGCGGATGCAGTCAGTGGGTGTGTGAATGAGCAAAGGTGCAGGGGATACAAACAGCCCAGCAGTCTGCACGCACTGATGTGTCACGTTCTCCTGAACTTGGGGAAGGTGCGGTCAACCCCTCCCCTGTCACACTTCTAGGCTAAACTAGCTCCTGGGGGCCCAACTTGTCAGCCTCGGAGCTGTCAGATGTTCCCCCAGGTCCTCCAGGGATGTCTGGGGCGCGGCTGTCCCTGGGAGCGCTGAGCCAGCTCCAGGAAGAGTTTTGTGTGCAGCTAAGTTGCTGGCGTTAATAAGGCTTTATATGGCAGGGAGCGGGGAGGGACCACTTACCACAAGAGGCAAAGAGGTAAAGGAGGAGGGGGTCTCTTCTGCTCATGGCAGGGTCTGGTAGGCAGAAGACTGGGAGAGAGCATGAGTCTTTTCCCTGCTAGTGGCTAGAACTTCTTTGGGGTTCCTTCCTCTCTTTGGGGGCTCTTTCTCTGCCCCCCAAGATCTGTGTGCAGGGGAGGGTCTGGATGCAGAGGGTTAAAGTTAAAAGCTCTAGCATCAATTTGTCCTCTCTGCATGGGCCCCATGCTCCCTTGACATGGGCACAGCCTGGCATGTGTGCCCCTTGCCCCTCCCCCAGCCAGTAGGCTCATTCCTTCCTCACCCCTCTGGGCAGAAATGTCTAATCCAGGTGGTTAATGAACACACAGGGTCCCCCTGCACTGGTCCTTGCCTGCTACCCCTTACTAAGCTTAAAGAAGCCACCCACAGCTAACCTCAGGACCAGGGCCAGTGTTGCCTGCCCAGATGTTTTAAGGCTGGCCTGTGTCCTAGTAGAAGAGACTAAAAGGGGGCGACTTGGGGTGGGGTGGGCAGAGAAGCCTGCTGGGCTCTTGGCTGGGCTCTTAGCAGGGGCGTGGGACAGGGTTAGGGGACAGGATGGTTACTGGTTGGGGAAGTTTCCAGGATCATGAGGTCAGGAAGGCAGTTGTGGTGGGAACAGGAGGGACACTGGAAAGTGGGGTTCCGATGATTGGGGACCCGAGGCTTCTCTCTTGGAAGCCCTTTCTGTGTGGCCTAGCAGAGGTGGCGTGGGAGGTGGGAGGGAGGGCCCTTTTCCCTTCCTGAAGCTGCCTGGAGGTGGGGTGGGGACCATTGTGGCTCAGACTTGGCCTCCAGCACTTCATGCCCTTGCCAGCTGGCCGGCAGCTCTTGTCTCCCAGACCCCAGTTTTCCCCCAAGACCCAAAGCTTACTACAGCCGAAGGACCCTTAGCCCTAATGGCTCTGGCCCAAAATAGGGTGGGAGAGCCGTTCAGGTGGTAGAACCCCCCCCCCCCCCCCAACACTGGATTCCCAACACGGTCAATGGAGAAGGAGTTGAGGGGAGGGGCAAGGGAAGGAGTGAGTGGGTGAGGGGCTGGACTTTGATTTGAAATTGAGGATTCTTGGGTGGTGTAGGAGATAGCCTAGGAATCTTTCTAACTCCCCAAGTCCTGGCCTTGAACTTCTGGCCCTCTTCTCCTAGCCCTCGCCCATACTTCATAACTTACCTCCGTTAGAGCCTGCGAAGAGAACTCAGTGTGGGGCTATAGCCATGGGGAGTGGGCTGAGATGAGGCACCTGGGAGACCAGGGAGAAGGCCGCTGTTCTGGGGGCACCCAGCATTGATGGGCTTCATTCAGGGAGCAAGGAAAGGGTGGGGTTGGAGATTTGCCTTGGAAGAATGAGGGTCGAACCAAGAGCGTCCAGAGGTTCTCCCTGGTCAGAGCGAGGATGGGCTTTGGTGTAAGGTAATGAGCGGCCTGTCGCAGGGGAGCAGTTCAGACAAGCTGGACACTGTCGAAGGAGTCCTGCGCTGCCATGTGGTGAGAAAGATGACCTTTGAAATCTCTGGGGATGCTGAGGTCCTGGGATTCTTAGGGTTGGGGAGTTCTCTGACTCTGGAATGGGGGCTGGGAATGAGGGGGTCAGAGTTGTGGCTTCAGGCTTCGGGCATGGGTGGGGACTTACAGGGTCGTCCTCTCTGACCACACTAGGGAATAAAAAGCCCTTGCATATATGCCTCTCCCTGGCACCCATAGCAGACCGACTGCCCACCAGTCTGCCCCCAATTGCTTACTTCACTGCTGCTGTGGTGAGGTGCTTCCTGATGGCCACTCTGGCCCTGTGTTTAACTCCTCGAAGGCTGGACAGAACTTAGGGCCATATGACACACTGTAAGGGGAAGAGGATGGCATGCATCACAGGTCTTTGGTTCTTTTTTTTTTTGTTTTTGTTTTATTTTGTTTTGTTTTGTTTTTTCGAGACAGAGTTTCCTCTGTAGCTTGGGAGCCTGTCCTGGAACTAGCTCTTGTAGACCAGGCTGTTCTCGAACTCACAGAGATCCGCCGCCTCTGCCTCCTGAGTGCTGGGATTAGGTGCGCCACCACTGCCTGGCCATGTCACAGGTCAAGGACTGGTTTCCATGTCGGGCATTCTGAGAGCCTGCCCTGAGCAGCCCGAGAGCAATGCCAGACTCTATGATTCAGGAGAACCCAGGGACGGGCCTCCGTTTCCCTCTTTACAGATCCTTTACGGTTATCAAGCCTTCACTAAGTGGCTTGTGTAATAGCCGGTGTGTACAGGGGTAGAGGTGGGGGTGGGGAAAAGGCCAAGGGCATTTGTTGTCCTCAAGAGACTCTCAGAGGGGTAGGAGAGGAACAGGTGACCTCCCTGTGGCCTCTTCAAACCTGTTTTCCCTGGGAAGGAGAGGCAACAGAGGTTGAAACTTCCCCAACTCAATGCTGGGGGTGTGGCTTCCTACTGGGAAGCGTGTGTGTGTGTGTGTGTGTGTGTGTGTGTGTGTGTGTGTGTGTGTCCGTGTCCTGATGGCTTCCCTTGGGGTTAGTACCCTCCCCGGACTCCATCCGTTCTAGCTCAGCTTGCCTGCCTCAGTTTGCCTCTCCCTACAATCCATTCTATGGATGTCTGTGGCCCTTTTGCTCCTGAGCATGGACCCAGAGTCTGAGGTCACTGTACAGGGCTCTCTGCCTCCAACCAGGTCAGTAGCTCTCACCCTCCTGGCTTCCTCTGAAGGGGAAGTCCTTCTCATTTTCTAACTTTTATCCCTGTCTACATCCAGGAGGTAGGGGAGGCTTCTTAATCAGGGCATTTTTTCCTCTGGATGAAAGGGACCTAGTGATGAGGGAGAGCAGGGGAGGAATGTGAGGGCCTAAACTGAGCTGCGGGTTGTTCATTGTTGCCTCTCACTTACGTTTTCCTAACCCTAGAAAGGGAAACTGAGGTTTTCGGGATAGAGATTTGTCAGAAGATCTCCCCCCCCACCACCATGCCTCCTGCCCCCAACAAAACAAAGCAAATCAGAAGGGAGCCTGCCTGATGATGGTGGGGGAGGGAGACGGTTGTTTTTAGATACTGGGGAGGGACAGGCTTCCACTTTGTCCCCAGCATTATCCCCCGAGGCCTCTGGCTCCCTGGCTCTCTGGCTGGCTGGCTTTTAGCTTTCCAGAGCTATTAGGCATGTAGAGGTGTGGGCATAAGCCAGCTGGGAAAGGAATGGTGGGGGTGGCAAGGATGCCAGCATTGAAGGCTGGGCTGCCTCCATGGACACCCTGTGCTGGCAGCTGGAGTCTCTAGGGTAGCTGATTCTTGGCCACATCCCTTCTTGTCCTCACCTTGGTTTCTTTGAGGGAGTTGGACCTGTCATGGGAGGGGACTGGGACAGTCACTGGCCCTTCCTCCTGCAGGGCTCCGCTGGGCTGTGTGTTCCCTGCCTTTTTAGGGCTTTGAGCTTGCAGCTCAGGCCTGAGCACCGGGTAGGTCATGGACTTGCGCAGAAGAGTGGATCCAGGGATCTGATCAGCTGAGAGCTACAGGAGTTCCCCTGTGAGCCAGCTCTCCAGCCCCTGCCACTGGAAACTACCTCCTGGGACCTTCCTAGTCTCTTGGAGTGAATGTGAGGCTCATTTGCTGCAAGTGTCCCTTGCTCTCACCTGTAGGTCTGTTCCCTAGCTGCATTGCTGCTCCCTGGCTGTGTAATGTCTTTTGCTTCCCAGGTGATGCTTTTGGTGCCAACTGAGGCTGGAGGACTGAGGGTTTGGGACAGGCCTCCTGAAGATCTGTAAGCCTACACACAATGCTGCTTTTTTCCCTTAAAGTGTAGAGCAAGGCAGAGGGAGGGCAAGAGGCTGGAGCCAGCCTACTGGTGACCTATGTATGGCAACTGTTCCTACCTACCAGTCGTGTGGTCTTGACGAGATTGGGCCTCTCAGAGCCTTAGTTTTCTCTCTAAAATGGGACAGTAGTATTTGCATCATGGCACGAGCGTAGAGGTTGAATGGCTTTGCAGTATGGGGTGCGGGTCAGCTGGTGGCATGGTCGCCTAGCCTGCACAGAACTCTGGGTTCTTTCCCCAGCACTGCATACATTTGGCATGGTGGGGGACACCTGTAATGACAACCCTGGAGAGGTAGAGGCAGGAGGATCAGGGGTTAAAGATCATCTAATGACTGTAGAATAAGTTCAAAAGTCAGCTTGGGATACATAAAAACCCTGCCTCAGAAACAAACATCCGAAACAAAACAAGCCAAAGTGCTTTGTTAGTTAACACTGGTTAAGTGTCCTTATTAGTGGGTGTCGTTCATTCCAGAGCCTGCCTCGTGGTTGGCCCCACTCTCTCTGATCATGGTTGTCTCTTCCCTACAATGGAGAGAGTCATGGGCTTCCCTTAAGGGGTGCTAGTAGCAGAGCAGGGTCTTTCTTCCCTGACTTTGCCTCCTTAGGAGGAAGGCCTAGAGTTGACAAGACCTCAGACTTGTCTCCCCAGAGAGCCAGAGCAGATATGTGTTTATGAAGAATTCTGAGAAAGTTGCTATCCCAGTAAACAAGTCCCTCGGGGATCCCTTCCCACCCTCCAGACAACCACTGTTTGCATTAAAACCTCCCAGGCCTGGCAAGGGCCTAACCTGTTTCCAAACAGGCTATCCTTGACCTTGGCCATAGGGAGT